ATATTGAACTGGTCCACCAAGTTTTGCCTCTCTGGCCAAGTGTATTGGCAAATGAATCATGACATCAAAAAATGCCGGAGGAAAAACCATTTGAAGTTTACACAATATGATTGGAATTTCAGCCTCAAGGATATCAAGATCTTCAATTGTCAAGCACTTAGAGTATAGATTCTTGAAAAATTTGCCTAAGGCTATAATTGGTTCACACACTTCCTTAGGTAGTAAACCACGTATAGCAACTGGTAAAATGTCTTGCAATAATACATGATGATCATGAGACTTCAATCCATGTATCTTTTTCTCAAGTACATTAACACACCTTGAAATATTTGATGAAAAGGCATCCGGAACCTTCAAATTAGCTAAGAAATCACATAACTTGAACTTCTCATCAGGGGACAATGCATAGCATGCTACCGGTAACAAAATTTTATCTCCATCCTCAATTGGATGCAACCCTTGCCTAATACCAAGGTCCACAAAATCATATCTACTTTTCAATGTGTCTTTTGTCTTTCCAACACTACTTATCACAGTTGATAAAATGTTGTCAGACACATTTCTTTCTATGTGCATCACATCTAGGTTATGTCTTAACCTAAGACTCTTCCAATAAGACAAATGAAAAAAAATACTTTTCTTCCTCCAGTTGTAAGCATTGGCAGAAACATTACGCTTTCTCTTTTATCCTTTACCAAAACTCACATTGCCCAAATTTTGTAACTGTATAAGTGCATCATCACCTGTTAAAGGGCTAGGTGCCACACCCATTTTCACTTTCCCATCAAATAACACCCATTTCTATACCATGGATGATTTGTGGGAAGGAAGCGATGATGACCCATATAACACAACTTGTTACGTAAGGAAATTGATTGTGTGTCTTTATGGCAACAAGGGCATGCAAGCTTTCCTTTGGTTGACCATCCATAAAGGTCCCCATATGCAGGAAAGTCATTAATCATCCACATGAGAGCCACACGCATAAGAAAATTAGATTTTGAGTGTGCATCATAAGTCTCCACCCCATCCCATAATTCTTTCAACTCTTCAATCATTGGTTGTAAGTATACATCAATATCATTGCCAGGAGACTTAGGGCCTGGAATAAGAAGTGTCATCATGAAATATGAACTCTTCATGCAATCCCATGGTGACAAATTATATGTAACTAGAATGACAGGCCAAATGCTATGATTGGTACTCATATTTCCATAAGGTTGGAATCCGTCGCTTGCTAAACCTAATCGGACATTTCTTAATTTTATCTGAAAAAGTAGGATGACGCTCATTGAAAGATTTCCATTCTATTGAGTTAGACGGATGTCGCATGACACCATCATCAATATTTTCTTCCTTGTGCCACCTCATTTTCTTTGATGTCTCTTTTGCCATGTATAGTCTTTGAAGCCTTGGTTTGATAGGAAAATGTTGTAATACCTTATGAGCTACTTTCTTGCCTTTGTGTTCCTGTGACTTCCATCTAGACCTACCACACTTGGGACATAATTGGGCATTGGCATAATCGCGCCAATATAAAATACAATCATTCTGACATGCATCTATTTTGGTATACCCCAAGCCTAGGTCACAAAGAACTTTCTTTGCTTCATAGAAAAAGGTAGTCACAAATGACCCATCGGGAAGAACTTCTTTAAAGAAGATTAATAACTCATCCATCGATTTGTTGCTCCAATGATTAAGACAATTCAAGTGAAGTAATTTAACAATAAAAGACAACTTTGAGACTTTTGTGCAACCAGGATAAAGTTCTGTCTGAGCATCTTTTAATAGTTTGTAGAACTTTGTTGCATGGATATTTGGCTCTTCATTACCCTCTGAAGAATTCGTATTATTCTCCACATTTGTATATCCACAAGCATCGTGAATCATTCCAGTAATGTCATCATCGTCATTGCTATCATCCTCTACTTCATCTCTATGTGTGACATTAGAATTTTCAACTCTAGCTAACACTTCTCCATGCAAGTCCCACACTTTATAAGAATCCAGAAGCCTTTTTTTAATAAGTCTTATCTTACATCATTTTTTAGCTTGAACACTGTATTCATACACCCTTTACAAGGACATCGAATCATAGTGTTCACTCCGGGTTGACTAAATGCCCAATTAAGAAAACCTTCCACTCCATCTATATACCTTTGATCAACTCTATTCCTAATATTTAACCAACTTTTATACATTCCTACTTTTAAGAAAAAAAGCAGTTAATTAATTAATTCAATTGAGGACCCATCTGGGAATCTGTTCGACTCTTACTGCACAAAAATGAAGATCCAAAAGAATAAACAACAATTCAAAGTACCAATTTATGTTAAAAAAAGAGCTTATTTTCAGTGAAATATATCTATAAAAAATCATGAATTGCGTACAAGAATTAAATTTCCAGTAATGGTCATATGTCATAATTTAGCGTAAAAAAAAAAAACAACTAGAAAAGAAAATTGCGAGATCATGCGTGGCAGAGAAATCTGGATAAATAAAGTAAAAAATATCAATAATGAGGCTATGACTAGAATTGAGAATTAAATGAGTAGTGATCTTGCTATGGCATACCTAATGTTGAAAATCAAAGAACACACAAATATCAAAGTTTGCTAGAAAGATGTAGACCACAATCCGGCCAAGATTGATTGGAAAATGACCTGAAAAATCCAGCAAAACAAAAAGGAACATAAGTTGTGAGGATATTAAAAGAAAGTAAGTAGTTAAAAGTAACAATACAACATAAATATCAAGAATTTGAATCTAAACAAGGTCTAGTGGATTTATGAGAGTGAAAAACATCATTTACGATGTCCCCAAGCTACTCTCCACTAAATGTACAGAATTCCACAAGAAATCGCCAAGGAAATCTCTCTCCAACTTCCACAATAAAAAATGAAATAAAGAAGAACACACTAGTGACTTGATTGTTGTTATTGTCGCTATGGCAAAGTAGAAAATGGGTCACCAATGCGAGGATAAAATGTGTTGACTGACTCTGTAGGCGAGGTAATAACTTCTCAGCTATTGTCACTAGTGTGTATGCAAAGAATGAGCAAAGTCAAATAGAGCTCGTGGCAAACTTTACAGACTATAGGTGCTTCTATACAAGTAGCATGAATTCGTAGTAGAGACTTTAAAAATGTCATGTATGTCAATGAAAGGATTGGTCAACCTGTAATAGTTGTTGAGGTGCAGGGGTTCAAGGAAATGGTAAACTAGTTACAACTCACTCTTCTGAAGGCACATGGATGCTTTTTCACTTGGAGCAATAAATAACACTACTAAGAATTCATGGTCACCAATGCGAGGATAAAAGGTTACGAATAGTACTCCTGATGTTCAATCTTATGGATCTGTTTATCTGGTAACTTAAGATTGCAAAAGGGTAGGTTTAATTTAGCAGAGAGTACATTTATGTGTCATGAATCTATGTGTTCGGTGAATACAAACAAATATCATATGCAAAAAAGTATTTCCATTTGTTGCAAGGAACATGTTCTTTTTTCATCATCACATGCTAGTCTAGGAATAGGTTCTGAATTCACCCATGATTTTAGAGTTTTGAATTTGAATAGTGTCAACATCAACATTTTATTTGACGAATTTCAGGAAAATCAAACACACTCATAATGCTTCTTTTTTACTGCAGCTATATCATAATCAACATGTTCACCGCAAACTACTCTTAAATTTCAACCAAATATTGTCCAAACGCCTGCATGATATTTTAAGTAAGTTGTAATATAGATTTACAATGAATTTTAGAAGCCATACAACAAATGAACACTCACATTAATAACAAAAAATTCCTAATACTCTCATGTAAGAGAAGATAGATTCCCCTCAATTCTGAAACAGAGAAGCCCCTTGGCCCTAGCAATTTGTTTACACATATACAATCTAGTATTACAGACTTTGGATCCATATGCGAGGTTGTAGTTGCGACCACGACTTCACAGGGTCGAGGCTTGGTGACCTGGTCACCTTCGCATGTGCAACCACTTCTTTGTAGGATCGAGCCTTGGTTCCGCAAGAGCAGCTGCACCAGTAGGTGTTGCACCAGCTCTTGTGATTCAAATCCCAAGTTTCAATCGGACCTCCGAAAATAATTCGGGGTCCTACCAACGTAAACCAAATATGTTACCCAATTAGAAACAAAATTCTGGACTTAATGTAACTTACAAAACTTTCAGGGGAGGTCGTCTCGACAAAAGTAGGTCTCACACCCAAGGCTCCATTTTAACGTATAAGTAAGAAGATATCTTGAAATGAATTTGAAAGCCTTGAGACCCAAACAAAGGTAATTCTAGACAAAACTCAACATTCCAGAACTGACAAAACCATTAGAACTTCATTTCAAGGCCATTTACTAAAGTTACATACAAGCAGATTTAGCTGGCCATGGACTCATACTCTTAAGTCATTTGTATCTATATTTCACTTTAGTTAATCTAATCGAGTAAGATCAAGAGCTCAGCATACTGAGTTGTCCAAACACGAGGATGTACGGTGGTTTTCTTTATGGTAGAGCCATTTATTAACCAACAAGAACTCCAATTAAGGAAAATATTATAGTTCAGCTGAAAAAATAAGACTTCAAGAGCTTCAGTAAACCAAATCACCAACAAGCTTTTATGTTTGGGAAAAGATTACAAACTCTTGAAACTTTTTAGAAGGTTTCAAACAAATTAACATATATATACAGAAATCGAGTTCTATTGAAATAATAACAACACACTTAGAACTACAATTTTCTTTTAAAACAACAATTTTTGTACATTTTTCGACATCAATATGAACATGCAGTTACTTAACAACATCTACAGATCTAGAATTTCAAAAAAAATCTTCAATAAACCTAGAGAAAGAGATAGCTCAAAAACAATAGTGAGATTC